GAGAGAGAGAGAGAGAGAGAGAGAGAGAGAGAGAGAGAGAGAGAGAGGTCCTAGCCTGTGCCTCCTGGGAGATGGCCCCTCCCAGGGATCTGGTGTGCCCAGGAGTCAGGCAGCCTGGGGGCAGAGCTGAAGGGAGGGCCTGGGAACTGTGTCCACCATGCCCATCAGGTGTGTCTGGGTGGGAGGTGGTGAGCTACACCAGGTGGGTGTGGGGAAGGAGAGGAGATCAAGGAGAGAGCGAGAGCAGATGCTGAAGGAGAGAAGGGGGCAGCATGGAGAGCTGAGAATGGGGCAGACAAGAGGGCCCAGGGAGGCACCTCAGACAGCTGAGCCAAGGAGGGTGGGAGTTGCTGGGAGCGTAAAGGGGTGGGAGAGCAAAGGCTGTGGGGTCTGGGCTGGGGGAGAGGATGGACATCAGGGTCAAGGTAAGGAGTGAAGCTGGCTATGGGTCATGGTTTGGGGAGGAGTGGGCAGAGAGTCAGGGCTGAAGACAGGGATAGGCTGAAGTTAGGGGGTAGGGAGCAGTTTTGCCTCCCCCACTCTGCTGATTTAGGTCCCTAGATTAGCTTTAATTCTGCCTTTGCAAGGGGAAAATCATAGTTTTTATTGGACATATCCCAGACTCAGTGTTATCCTGCCTCCTAGAATAAAAGAAAAGGAGAGACGCTTTCCTGCCCTGGGGCTCAAGGGCCCATCTATCTTCAGGAAGATATGCTGAGGCTGGCTTCAAGGTGGCCCTGGACAGGGCTGGAGCACTCCAAGGAGTCAGCATGGGCAGGCAGAGCTGCCCAAAACAGGGAAGAGGATCCCTGCTGTCCGGAGCCATGTCTCAAGGGGGACCAGTGGGTCGGGCAGGCAGGAGCAACAGGGGTGCCTGGACCTGTAGCATTCACTCTGGAGGCTCCTGGGCCTGGGACAAGAGTCTCTGCTCCAGTTTGGCGTACTGGGGTAGGAGGGCCTCGTAGACCTGTAGGGGCAGAAAGAGTAGTTTAGAATGGGAAGGGAGGGAAGATGCCTCTTACATCTGGCTGCAATTTGTGATTTAAAAATTTTGTATTCCATTTACTTGCAATTTAACTTTTTTGCTGGGCAAAAGAAAGGACACATCAATTCACGAAAGAGGAAATGCTGATTTTCAAACTTATATTCTAGGATTTTTAAAACTGTAAATTATGACAGGAAATCAATTTTTGTTACCAAATCTACAAAAGTTTAAAAAATTCTGGTACCAGAAAATGGCTGCCTCATTGCATAGCTGGTGAAAGTTGGTAGTATAACCCTTTTGGAAGTAAACTTGACTTTCATACCTGTATTAAGATGTCCATAGCCTGTTATTCAGTTATTCTACTTCTGTGAAGCTCTCCTAAGGATATAACCCTAAATGTAGACCACTAAGGGTCTTCTTACACACTACTAAATATTGAGACTCATGATACTAGCATGGGCCACACCCTGGCCCTCAGAAGGGTAGACTGGAGCAACACGGCCTGTTGGCAGAGTGGCTGCAGGTGCTCCTCTTCAACGGGATACCAGGTAGTGGTTCATACAGCAGGTCACACACCTATCCAGGAGAGGGTCTCTTTGCCTCCCCACATTCCCTACTCTCTCACCCCCAGCATGTAGCTCAGGTACAAGGAGTTGAGAGCCACATCATATAAGTGCAAGAACCATCCTGGCTTCAAAACGTCATGCCCCACAGGAGTATCTCTTACAATAACTTATTAGGACATGTCCAGGAGTCACTGCACTCAGGGAAGCCCTAAGTAAGACTTTCCACCGGGTATTTACAGTTTTCCCAAACAAATACCACTTTTACATAAGCAATGTTGTCTGGTAACACTGTTGATATTCCATTTTTATTAGATCTCAAGGGAAACAGAGCTAGAAAGTTAACTTTAAAAGTCAAATTCTCATGTGGGATAGGAAAGGAGTGTGCTGTGTAATAAACCCAAACCAAAAAACCAACAAGGGAAAAAGGACCAGAAAGAAACACAACCCTACATTCTTATCTTTCATTCCTCTTTTTTTTAGCTTTAGCAGTTTTCACCTGTGGCTGTAATCTAGCGTGAGAAATGGAGGTGCACTTCAGGTGAGCACATGTTTTCTTATAGACAACAACACTAAGACCAAGGGACCCAGGCTGGGCACGGTGGCTCTTGCCTGTAATCCTAGCACTCTGGGAGGCCGAGGCGGGAGGATTGCTTGAGCTCAGGAGTTCGAAACCAGCCTGAGCAAGAGCGAGACCCCGTCTCTACTAAAAATAGAAAGAAATTAATCAGACAACTAAAAATGTATAGAAAAAATTAGCCGGGCATGGTGGCACATGCCTGTAGTCCCAGCTACTCAGGAGGCTGAGGCAGGAGGATCGCTTGAGCCCAGGAGTCTGAGGTTGCTGTGAGCTAGGCTAATGCCACAGCACTCTAGCCTGGGCAACACAGTGAGGACTCTGTCTCAAAAAAAAAAAAAAAAAAAAAGGAAGTGTGTGAAAAGAGACTCTGCCCAATGCCACCCTCTGATTCCTGCCTTTGAATACAGTTGTGTGAGGACATGATGTTTGGAGAAGCTGCTGACATCCTGTGGCCGTTTGGAGCACATCTGGAGCTGCACTATCCTACATGGTAGCCTTGGAACATGCCTAGAACTATAAGTATAAAGTGCCCACAAAATTTCCAAAGCTTCATATAAAATAAAAAAGAATGTAATATATCACATTAGTAACTTTTCTAATTGATTACATGTTGAAATGACAGTATTTTGGATATGTTGGATTAAATTAAATATATTATTAAACTTAACTTTGCCTGTTTTTTATTTATTTTTATTTCTAAAAAATGAGACTAATATAAATTTAAAATGACACATATGGCTTACATTATGTTCCCACCATCCATCACTGATCTGGGGAATTGCAGGGAACATGACCTAGAACCCTGATGTTGAACCACTGAACCCACGTTACCTTCAGATTTCCTGTTACATAATAAAACCATTTTGGTCAAGGATTCTTTTAAAGCCTCACAATTAGCAGGTGAAAAGGAGGCAGGACAGATGTGCCCCCTTCACAGATAAAGAAACAGAAGTCTGGAGATGAGGAGTGCTGCTCAAGGTCACATGAAGACCGCATGGTGAATGAGAGGCAGAATAAGAATCAGAACCCAAACGCTCTGTATCTCGGTGTAGGATCTCTCCACTGCATGGAGCGGCCTCTTAAACATAAGGACACACAGCAGAAAAATAGTAGAAGCCTGAGCACATCTGTGTGTATGGTTTGTCTGGTCATCTGGAAAGCATGAGCTCCTGTTTCCAAGATATGTTGGGAGACAATTCTCCATGTTTCTACATGCCTTGTGATAGCTTTTTTTTCAGACTATCATTTTGAGGATGTAAGGCATAGAGACATAGATAGTGCCTTTCTCTGGGACAGAAGGATTTGTTTGCTGACAAGGATAATAAAGATAATGTCTCCTTTGGGGGCAAAGGGGGGGAGTTTTCTAAGCTCAGGATCCCTGCTGTGACACGTTACATGCACAGTATCTATCTGGGCCCACTTTGCATCACCCTGTGGAACTTGGGGGCCAAGGGAACCAGATGCAAGCATGAAGCTCCTGCTGCCTGATATACCATGAATAATAAAGCCCTTTGTCTCTGACCCAGGAGTCTTGTGTCTTCTGCCCCGCACCTATGAAACTGTGGCAGGCTCACTTGTTAGTCTGCAAGTCAGGTACATCTCAGACCTTTCACAGTTCCTTACAAGAGGTACCCGCCCCTGCCCCTGGCTGCAAGCGCCTTCTGTAAACAGGTCCAGTGGTGTGGCGAATGATGTGGTGGATCATCCAGATTCACCTTCAGGAATGAAGAACTTATTCTCCCAGCTGCTGGGGGTGCTACTGGCAGACAGCCCTCAGCTGACAGCCCCTTTTGGGGACTGCTTTAGCTGTAAAGAGCTGCCTCACTTCATCCTGGGGTGGCCCACATGCAATGACTGATTGACATGGGATATAAAGGCCCAGCCCCTCAGCCCAACTGGGTCAAACTCTAAAGGGTCATCTCAACTTCAGAACTTCCCGCAGGATAGGCTGAGGACTCCATGAGATTGCACTGCAGCTCACCTCCTCCCTCTGTCTAATCCTGACTCCTCCGTTTCCCTTCCACCGGTGTGGATCCCAAGAGCAACCTCCAAGAAACCTTGCATATCTTAGTTGACATCTCAGACTCTGCTTTCTGGGTAACCCAACCTGCAACAAGTGGGCTTGGCCTGCACAGGGATTTCCTGGCCTGGGTGACTGCACAGCTATCTTGGATCAGACTTGAGATTTGAGTGCTAGAAACCTAGAATGTTTTGCGCTTCAGTGACAGAGTCTTTCAGTAGCTTCTCTAGCCCAGTGACATGGAAGGGCCTGCCCTGAGGCATACAGAACAATGGAGATATGCCCAGTAATCCACCTGACCCCTGGCTGTGAAATCAGCAATATGTGAGTTCCAGCTGACAACCTGGTTTGTTTTGCTCCATTTTCTTGATAATTTCAAAAAAGCAGAATTTCCCTTTTAGTTGAGCATACCAGATTTAACGTAGGTGATCTTTTTGGAAAAAAAAACCTAGTTGCTTTCATAATGCAAATGCTACGACCAAATTCTGATAGTCTCTTACCTGAGAAGCTCCCGGGCTTGGGGTAGCAGCTAGTGTGGGATTTGAGGCTAACTTCACAACCTCTGAAAAGGGCACATCTGTCCCACCTGCAAGGCCTAGAAGGGAAAAGTCATTTCACATCAGTGTATTTTGCAAATGAAGATGTTAACTGTAAACAGCATAAAGGATCTCACTGGGGTGATAAAATGTTCTAAAACTGGATTATGTTGATGGTTGCACAACTAAACATCATTGAATTGTACACTTAAAACAGGTGATTTTTATGTCATATGAATTGTGCTTTGATAAAATTGTTTTAAAAAAAGGAAAAGAAAAATGTTAAGCGCAGGCCTGTCTTCAACAGGGCCTAGTTTGTCTTGTTCATTGTGGAGGTGCCTTTCATGGAATGGGCCAGTTAACCCCACTATGTGACAGAAGGGGAGGGTCTCCTGGCCTCTCCTCTCTCCCCTCATCACCATATTCTGGCCAGCCTGTCTGCCCTCCGCTTGTTTTCCTTCAGTGCCTTGTCACTGTACGGAATGTTCTTTCCACCTTCATGTACCTACTCCCTTCTCCTTGGCTAAGTTGCAGCTAAGAACATCAGTTGTTTGGGAGGCCCTTTCTAGCCCTCCTCTAGCCCTCAGCACCATCTGCTTTTCCTCAGAGAAATTTTCACAATTCATGGCCACATATTTGGGTGATTATTTATTTAAAGTCCCTCCTTTGCTGAGCTGTAAACTCCAGGAGGCCAGAGACTGTCTCTCTGGGTCGCCACCAAAGCTGCGGTGCCTAGGACTCTGTCTGGCATTCAGGAGGTGCTCAATAAATACTCAGCAAGCAAATGAGTAGCAGGGCCGGAGAAGAGGGAAGGTTGACATAGGTGGACAAGAAACGACGAGGAATTTCTAGGCAAGTTAAGCAGTAGTATGAGATTGACAGAGAAACACACCACCACCAGGAGTGGAGGAGGGTCTCCTGAAGATACGAGGGCCAGTTTTCCTGACCAAATGCTAGAAAACCCCACCTCGGAATAGCTGAGGGAATGGAATGGTGGTGGGGTAGCCAGCACAGAAACTGAGTCCAAAGACTCTGGTCCCATCTTCACACATATTCACAGACTGGCTGGGGAGAAGGGATCTCCAAATAAAGTGGCTAATATGACTCTGGGTAGGGACAGGCGAGCTTGGATTTAGCTCAGGCCTTGGTTTTGGAGGACAGAGCAGGGCAGTGCCCCAGGTACCCTTTGGCAACTAAATGAGCATGCAAAGGGACAGATAAAAACAAAACACAGTGAAGTCCCTGCAGGGTAATTAATTCCTTTCCCATTTCTGCAAAAAGAGGACTATGAAGTGGACCCCGGACTTCTCAGCAGCAACACTGAAGGCCAAAATATTATGGAACAGTACTTTCAAAGTTCTCAGGAAAAATATTTTGAACTTAGAGTCTTTTATCGATCATTCTTTGGGAGGGTGAAACAAAAGACCTTGTTGGACATGGACATGTCAGACCTCAAAATTATCTCCTACTGAGTTCTCCCTTAAAATATTTATTTAGGGGGGAGCATAGAAACAAAGAAGAAAGAAACTGCAGGAAGGTAAAAAAGAAAAAAGAAAAAAGAAAAAACTCATAGGTAAGTGCAAATAAAAACCAATAGGATACAAAATGTACTTAAAAACAAAACAATCTTAAAATAAATTCCCAAGTGATCTTGGTATAGGAGGTGGATGGGGTGGGGAGGGATGGGAATAAAAGAGCAAGAAGTTAATTAAGAGATGAACATGTTCCCTGACTAATTCTGAAGGTTGACAGAAAAACATATGTTTAAATAGGTAAGTTAAAAAGTTAAGAGTAAACATGCAAAGAATAGAACCACTAGAGGGAAAGGATGAAGCCCTTAAAGTACACGCGCAGCTGGAGGAGGTCTTGAGCAGGCAGAGGACAGGGCAAATTGATCCAAATTGGAGGAGGAATGCCCTTGTGGGCATGTGCTGCTCCCTCCAGAACGCTCCTAGGCAGGAGACCTTCCTTTAATATCTGGAGTTTCAGCTAGGCCTGATCAGAGCAATCGTCCCCCATGGAGCTGTCCAGGGTCCTGGACTGCTTGGGCTTAAAGTCTTCCCCCTTGTCTCAACTTCTTGTTTTTGCTGAAAAGACTGCTCTGGACTTCACCCATCCCTCCCACCCTCCAGCTGTCCAGACCCATGCCCATATGCCCTCAAGCAAACCCTGTGTCCTTTTCTAGTGTCCTTGTGCTAAACCTGACTCTGACCAGGCCTGGTTCAGTTAGGACCTGGCTTCCCTTTCCCCACTTTAAGTAGAGAATGAAAGAATAGAAGATATGGGGCTGGGCGCGGTGGCTCACGCCTGTAATCCTAGCTCTCTGGGAGGCTGAGGCGGGCGGATTGTTTGAGCTCAGGAGTTCGAAACCAGCCTGAGCAAGAGCGAGACCCCGTCTCTACTAAAAATAGAAAGAAATTAATTGGACAACTAAAAATACATAGAAAAACTTAGCCGGGCATGGTGGTGCATGCCTGTAGTCCCAGCTACTCGGGAGGCTGAGGCAGGAGGATCGCTTGAGCCCAGGAGTTTGAGGTTGCTGTGAGCTAGGATGACGCCACGGCACTCTAGCCCGGGCAACACAGTGAGACTCTGTCTCAAAAAAAAAAAAAAAAAAGAATAGAAGATATGGGTTGATCCTTGCTTGCTGGAAGGGAGAACAATGAAGCTACAGCCCCCAAGACTACAGTGTCCCCAAAGACTGGGAACACTTCATTCACCCCTTACCACACTCCTCAGTCCAGCCAGTGCTCCAACCACTTCCAGGGACAGCTGTCACCCTCTATCAACCTACCATGAAAAGCTCGGTATGCAGAGCCCACACAAGCTGAGTTGGCTGTGTCTATGACATACACGGGGGCACCAAACACATCTGCAAGCACCTGGAAGGGACACAGAGGTTTTACTGTGGTAAGTCATTCCTCAGAGGGAATGTGGACATTTTGGGATGCCTTTTTCCAGGTTCTCCCTCCTCCTATGTCTTCCGACCCCTTCCATTCTACCTCTACTGCCCTAAAGGGAGTGCACTTGGCCATGCTGCCCTGGAGACCATGTGATCATAGAAGCAGAATGACCTGGGGGAGTCCCTAGTGGAGAGCCATAGCTCCCCAGGCTGTCCCTGTACTTTTTAACCATCTACCAAAGGCAAGGCAGAAGGTTTAGGAAGTATATCTAGCAAATGCATTGACCTAGAGCTGGGGACATCTGGGTATTAAACTAATATTAATAAGCCCCCCAAAATCCAAACTAACAAAGCATGTTTTATGGGGATAATGATACAATTTTCCATCTAGGTCCAAAAAATAAATTGCATAAATTTAGAATGGAGGACCTGTACTAAGAGGACTTCACATGGAAAAAACCTGGGGGGAGGGTCTTAGTTGACCAGAGATATTGCAGTAGGTGCCACTGATGCCCACCCAGATCCCCTTCACTGGCCCAGGGTACAGCCCTCCCCCAGCTGCTGTTTGAGTATAGGCTGCTAATGGCTCACAGCACTCCCTCAAGAGAACTGACCTTGGCTGAGCAGAGGCTGCCGTTCATGGGAGATTATACTAACCCTTCCCCAGGGCAGAGAGTTGGCCCCTTGACCTAAGATAGAATCAGCTCTACGGTGTAATTCATGCTCTCAAGCTCCCCCTGGGATGGCGCTGAAGCCGACTCTAGCCAAGACCACATGTTTGCTTACCCTTCTTCCCCCATCCTATCCTGAGCCCTTCACTCCCTTCTTCCTGGAAGCACTCTCAACAAAGCACAGAAGAATTCCCATTTCAGGCTCTGTTTCTAGAACATCTTACCTAAGACAGGTATATCACAAGTTAGTAATTCATGCAATTATTCCAACAGGGCAGCCTCAGGCTATACCCAAAAATACAGAATGTCCTCAAAAGAGGACCTGATGGCCCCACAATGTGACAGCTTGAGTGTCAGATATCTGCAGGTTGGTTCCAGTTTTGGTCATATGTTTCTAGCGCAATGGAGGACCAGAAGGACAGTGACAGAGTCTGGCAACTATGTTACAAGAGGACTGACCGGAGAATTAGAGAGTTAAATTGGAAAGGAGAAGGTTTGCCATGTGGAAGAACAGGCGCTCTCCATGTGACTCCAGAGGCCAGTGCTGATGGATTGTACAGGGCAGAAGAATTCACCTGAATATGAGACAGAACCTGCTCACAGTGTGAGCTGTAAGGCAATAGAGCTGCTTCCTGGAGGGAGTGGACTGTGAGCTCCCCAGTCCTGAAGGAGTGGGAACGGTGCAGTCCTTGCTGTTGAGTCTCTGGTTCTTACAAGTAACAGACGTGGGAAAGCCACAGTGCAGGGCCCACCACCAGCACTTACCTGTAAGATGTCTCTATTGTGGGACGCTCCTCCAGTGGCCAAAATCTTTGTCTTGGGCACTGCAAGGGAAAAGAAAAAAATAAAATAGCTGTGGCAATTCCCCCAAGGCAGAAAGAGTTGTTTTTCCAAAGTTCTTCAGCCACAAAGGATGATGATGGGCTTATGCCTCCAGCTTATCACACAGGACTAGGGAGCGATCCAAAGCTGACTCTTCCATGAAGGCCTGTCACGTGTCATTTGCTTGTGAGGTTGCTGCCCCATCCACCTTTACTGTCCTACCTTTGTGTAATTTGTTTTTTAAATCTCAACAAAGCAAGAATTGAAGGGAACTTCCTTAAATTGATAAAGGCCATATACCTAAAACTGATAACAAACATCATTCTTAACAGAAAGGTTTAGAAGCATTCTCTTTAAGACTAGTACGCTAACAAGAGTCCAAAATGGCCTCCAAATGACCCCTGTGTCCTACTATTATACCCTCTCACATTCAATAGGGTCGACTCATGTACCCACTAGGACTGTGTGTAAATAATGGAGTGACTTCCAAGACTAGGTGATAAAAGATATTGAGACTTCCATCTTGCTGTGATACAGATCACTCTCTTGGATCACTCCCTCAGTGGGAAGCCAGCTGCCACATCATGAAGACACTTAAGCAGCCCTATAGAGACGTCTGCATGGCAAGTGACTGGGGACTCCTGCCAACAACCATGTGAGTAACTTGGCTTGGAAGCAGATCCTCCAGCCTGAGTCAAGCCTTCAGATGAGTGCAGTCCCAGCTGACATCCTGAAAGCAGCCTCAGGAGGGATGCTCAATCAGAATCACCCAGCTATGCTGATCCCAGATTCCTGACTCACAGACATTGTGTAAGAAAACAAATGTTCATTCTTGTTTTAAGCTGCGAAATTTTGAAGTAATTTGTTACAGGGCAATAGATAATTAATACAACTACGAACAAAACAAAGATTCACCGCATCCAGTATACTGTGTAACATAGTACTAGATATACCAGTCAATGCCATAAGACAAAAAACCCAAAAAGTATAAGGACTGAAAGAAAAGAAAACTATCATTATTTGCTGACCATAGGTCATCTACTTAGAAAAAATAAAAAACAAGCAAACTAATAAAACTAATAAGAGTTTAATAAGCTTGCCATATATGCGATGAATTTATAATAATCAATGGCATTTCTAATAATAGTCAACTAGCAAATGTAACAGAAAATAAATTGTCATTTACACTGGCAACCAGAAATGTAATGTAGCCAAGAAATACCTTAGCAAAGAATTCAAAGGTCTCTATGAAGAAAAAATTTAAGCTGTTACTGAAGGACAAAAAAATAATATCTAAATAAATGAAAAGATAGTCCATGATCTTAGATGGATATGAATTAACATTATAAACATGTCAATTTTTTTAAAATTAGTATATAAATTCAATCCAACCTAAATAAAAATTCCAATTGTATTTTTTTTAAAGAACTGAACCAATTTACTATAAAATATTTATGGAAAAATAAAGATCTATAAACAGCTAAAACAGTATTTAAAAAAGAAAAGCGAGATGGGGTCCTATTTCATTCTTCTGCATGTGGCTATCCAATTTTCCCCATACCATTTGTTGAATAGGGCTTCCTTTCCCCAGTGTATGTTGTTGTCTGCTTTGTTGAAGATCATGGTTGTAAGTAGATGGTTTTATTTCTGGGTTCTCTATTCTGTTCCATTGGTCTAGATCTCTACTTTCATACCAGCATCATGCTGTTTGGTTACTATAGCCTTGTCGTATAATTTGAAGTCAGGTAATGTGATGCCACCAGATTTGTTCTTTTTGCTTAAGATTGCTTTGGCTAACCACTGCGAGATTTAGTTTCCTACTTTGTGAAGTGGGAGTGATACCAGCATCTACCTCAGAGGTACTGTGTTAATAAGGATGAAGTGTTGGGCACATAGTCAGTGCCCAACAAATGCTGGCAGCTATTAGTATCATGACTATCATTCTTACACAAAGTGCCTCTTTTTTCTTTTTAGACTCCATTAAAACCCTCCATGAGATGAAGACTGACCAAGAACAAAAACTCAAGCTGGCCAATTCACATGGCAGCCTGGAGAGTGATGCCTCATGTTTGTAACTCTGTTGAGTTCCAAGCATATTCATTAAGCGATCACCCGACAGAGCTGGCAAAACACGTTTGATTCTGTATTTAAGCTTGCTAAGAGGATAAGGAACTTTATGCTATTTTACACAAGAAATGCTTTAAAAGCTGGGAATAATGTCATAATCCTGTTAGCCCCTCCTGAGTCCATGTGGACTTTCTACCCTGACTGCCTCTCCCTGTACACTGGGCTGTCCCCTCCGAAGTACTCGCTCCCAACAGCCAGAGGACTCCTGCCAGGCACTCAGCATTACATTGTGAGATTCACCCATTTTGTTGTGTGCAGTTGAGGCTGGTTCATTTTCATTTCTGTGTTGTATCCTGATACATGAATGCACTACAGTGCATTTATCCTGTCTACACCTAACAAGTACTGGATTGCTTCCACTGTTAAGCATAATGCTGCAATGAATATTCTAATGTACTTCTTCAGTGAACATGTACACAAACTCCTGTTGTGCACTTACTTAGAAATGAGGTTGCTGGGTAGGCATAGATTCAGCTTTAGTAAATGCTAACAGGTTTTCCAAGAGGTTTACCTAATGTGTATTTTTATACTATCCTTTTACTTGGTTGGTTCAAAGACATAAAACATATACTACATAGAAGTTGGATTGCCCATAAAAGTGTCATAAGGAGGCCCTCAAGCAAAGAGGCTTCAGAGGTTTTTCTACCTTCTAGAGTGACAACAGTTGCTGCTCAGAGGGACAAATACATCTCAGAAACCAGGACTCCATCGTTGGCCAGCCAGACCCCAGACCACTCCAATGCCATCAGTTAGGGGAATTCACTGATCTCCTAAAGCTTCCTACTCCCTAGCTCAAGTTCTCAGAAATCCCTCTCTCCTCCTTTTGCCTGCTCTCAGCTTTGGATCTGCCCTCTCCATGCCAGTTGCTGTGCTTTGAATATTTGTCCCCTGTAGAACTCTTACAGAAACTTAATCCCCACTGCGGCAGTATTGAGAGGTGGGCTCTTTAAGAGGTGATTGGGTCACGAATGCCCTCATGAATGGATTAATCCACTCATGGATTAACAGATTAATGGGTTATCATGGGAATGGGACTGAGCTGGCACACTCAGCTCCCTTGCCATGTGACACCCTGCACCACCTCAGGACTCTGCAGAGAGTCAGAAGGCTCTCACCACATGTGGCCCTTTGACCTTGGACTTTTCAGCCTCCATAATTGTAAGAAATAAATTCACTTTCCTTGTAAATTACCCAGGTTTAGGAATTCTGTCGTAAGACACAGAAAACAGACTAAGACACCAGTCTTCTGCGTTTTCATAGGGATACTACATCCCTATACTTCTCTTTCTAAGCTGAAAGGCCCAGACAGTGCCCCATAGGCAGGAGGGTCCTGGCCAGGCTAGGAGGACTCAGTGCTAGCTTGAAGGATGCTCCACAGTGGTGGCATCATGGCTTCAGGCCAGACCCTGCATTGCCCATGTCCTTGGAGTCCAGAGTTCAATATGTTTTATCTATAGCTTAAAGCTTAGGGTTATAGGAAGACCTCTCCCAAGTCCTACAGTTTCTGGCCAAGGGGTCAGGCTACTGGAGACAGAACTGAGAAGCAGGAACACCTGCCCCTATGCTATGCCTGCCCACAAGTGCCAGTCGACTCACTTTCTCACCCCACCTCAGGGCCAGGCTTCATCTCCCTCTTGCATGAGGCCCCCTGTTAAGAGAGCCTTAACAGACACTGTCCCCCAGTCCTGGCCCCAGGGTGGTAGCTGGGTCCTGAGTCCCCACCCCAGGACACATCCCGCTAGCGGTTCACTTACTGACTCGATAGCCCAGGCCTTCTGCGTGAATCCTCTTGGCCATGAATTGTCCTTCGATCAGTGCTCGAACCTCCACGTCCTTGGGGAATGCTGAGACCTATCTCCAGGAAAAGGTGGGCACAGAGTGAGGCACTCTCGTGGACCATTCATGCGTGTGTGTGTGTGTGTGTGTGTGTGTGTGTGTGGTGTGTGTGTTTATCTTTTTAAACAACAGCCCAGATTTGGAACTCATAGCTGGGCTCTTTAACCAAGGGGTCCCCAACCTACGGTGAGTTGTATAATTATTTTGTTATACATTACAATGTAATAATAATAGAAATAAAATGCATAATATATGGACTTTCAAGTGCTTGAATCATCCTAAAACCATCCCCCTCCCACCCCCGGTCCATGGAAAAATTGTTTTCTGTGAAAACAGTCCCTGGTGCCAAAATGTTTGGAGACTGCTACTATCCACTAACTTTGCCTGTCTCACACACACACACAAGCTCACAGCCTCACATGCATGCCACTGGGGAGCCACAGGCATCACAGAGCTCAGTCTCAGGCAGCCAAGGTTCAAGTTCTGACCGTACCATTCAGCCTCATGACCTCGAATAAGTTATGTAAGTCTTGCCAAGTGTCATTTTCTTTAACAGAACTGAGGTAATAGTGGCACCTGTTTTTTAGGGTTGTTGTAATGATCAAATTAGGTGAAGAGCCTGGAATACCCAGTTGACATTCGCTAAGCGAGAGCCACAAGCCTACGCTGAGGACCCACGACTGTGGAGTGCCCTTCAACCTGGCCTAAGGGGCATCAAGCTCCGGCTCGACCCTGCTTCTGCAGCACTGAGACCCCCGACTATGCCGCTCTCTCCCTCACAAACTGTGACGCTGTCCAGTTTCCAAAGTGTTCCCTCTGCCCGAAATCTGCTCCACTCTTCCCACGGCGAGATCCTTCTCACCCTTTCAGGTCTCAGCCTATGGGCCACCTTTTGAGGCAAGCCTGTGCCCAATGACCCCTCCTAGGGCAAGTCCCCAGCCCACCCACTGCCTTCTTTTGCGGTACTCTGCTCTTCCCTTTCTAGCCATATCACATGCTGTGACCAACTGTCTCCAAGAGGCACCTGGGACATGAAGAAACCCCACAAAAGCCAGAGGGTAGCATATAATTCCACCCCGGCTAAAGGCAGGTTAGGGACCTCAGCATATGACAGGATGCTCTCAACAGCCTAGAAAGGGTCTGGGAAGACTGGCTCCTCCCTCTGGCCTCATCAGGACGTGCTGTCATCATTCCTTTGTCGGCTATCCATTGCTCTCCTAGATGTTGGGCTCTGTAGAGCAAGGACCACGTGCATCCTGTTCTCCTTTGTGTGCGTAATGCCTGGCACCGATCACACATATCTATCGACTGAATGAATGAAAAACACTACCTTCTCCTTGATAAATCTAGGGCTGATGTGCATAAAAGAGAACAGGCATATCCTCTCTTTCTGAATAACAGAAACCAACTGATTCTCCATCAGAAGACTGAGGCGAACTCCGTACACCTTACACAGAACCTTCCATTCACAATCCATCATGCAGTGCCATCATCTGCCATCTAATCCAATGCCAACTCTGTTACAGTCACTGAAGAGAGCATCTTACAGAAGCTCCCCAGACATTTACAGGGGTCAGAAACATCTCTCAGAGCCAAAATGTGGTGATGACTCTCTGGTAACCATCTAACAGAAATATCAATTCCAAGCAGCAAGAATCAGCTGAATCCTTCCTGGGAGAGGTCGCATGGTGGAAGAGAAAGAAAACCATCCTCAGAGACAGAGAGGATTGGTTTTGAGCCCCCTCGACCTTGTGACTCTGGGCAGGTTACTCAGCCTGAGCCTCTAAGCCTAAACTTCTCCACCTGGAAAGAGGGATAATAACACCCACCTCACAGAATTGCTTTGAGGTGGAAATGAGGAAGGTACAGAAAACCATGGGCATGGTGCCTAGCTCGATAAATGTGAGTGCCTCCCTGTCCCAGAGGCTCTTTCAGTCAGGAGGGAATTTATGATCTAAACCTGCAAGTTCTTGGTAGGTGTAGGATAAAGATCGCCAAGGAAAAAAGCTCTGTGATATTCAGTGATAGTTAGTGTTAGCCCAGAACAGAACTCTCAGGTTTTCTGTACTCCTCCTTGAGGGAAAGGAAAGTGTCTGCCTTAGGTCCTGTGGATTCCTTAGCATCTAGAATGTGCCCTGGCACGTCAAAAGTGTTTGTAATATCAGTGGATGAGTGAATGAATGAAGTTCCTGAAAGCAGCATGATTTGACAGTCAGTTGCTAAATTCAATACTCAAAAGTGGAGCCAATGTAGCTCCAAGACCAATAACATACATACCCTGTGGTTTTCTGCATTAAACCTATGACGCCCAATAATCTCAGGGGTGATCTCCATTACATCAAAATAAAAACCTGAAATAAAACCAGGAAGAGATTAGCTGTCAGTGGCTAAAAAAACAAAAGATCAGCTTCTCAACAGATTTGCACAAGAGCAGGATAAAATCACCCCACATGCCTGAATCCCTAGGCACCCTTTTGTCATCCAAGTGAGACCTGTGAATATTCTCAGTTCCTTCTCTCCAACAGGACAGGGAACCGGAGAGGCCTGGGCTAACTTTTCTTAGAGACAGCTCTTCCCACCTGGCAGCCCTGACCAGGAAGCAGCTGCCCAACCAATCCTAAAGTACGAACACAGGTTTGATCAAGGGAGGCATATCCCCTCCCTGCTCAGGCCTGCCCAGATGCTGGGCACGTTTACTGATGACCTGTGTCTCAGGCAGAAAGCTCTGTATGGGGAAGCACCAGGGCAGAGACTGTCATCTCTGATGCTGTCACCAGGAGCTTTGAGGGGACAGAAGATGCAGCTATGGCCTGATCTTCCACTCAGTATGTGGAGCAGCAGCCAAGAGGAGCCTCACGGCCACAACCTCATGCAGAAGACGGGGTCCCAAGCCAGGTTGTGAGGCTTATAGAACAGCAGTGTAGATGACGGGACTCCCTGGACTTCTCCATGGCCCTCCTCTCCCCTAGCTCACGGGGCCCCAGGCCCTGCCCCTCTGGCAGGCAGCTGCTGACCTTCACAGGCCCAGGCGTCACTACCCAGCCTACCCAGGTTTCCGCCGTTCCCCATCTCTGTGGACCGCAGTGCCTTCGAGAACTGGCTCCAGGAACAGGAAGCACACTCATCGCGGATCTTCTCTCTCATGAGGGAGCCATTTTTAAAGCTGTAGAAGTGCACATGACTCTGAGGGAGGGAGCCAGCACTCTGACTGGACCCATGAGTTTCCTGAAGAGTCCCAGGCAGAGGGACTGCAGGTCAGGCTGGACCACTCCACAGGCAGTGCCTAGGCACCCTGAACCTCAGCTATCTGAGGCTCTCCCTCAGACTGCAGGCCCCACGCTTGTCCCCGGGAGGCTCCAGAAATGCCCTTGTCCTGGGCTGTTTATACAGGAGGCTGCCACAAAGGAGCCGCAGATAGAGACAGGGAGCTGGGATTTCTGCACATTCTACCACCTGTACAATGGGGCAGGGCTGGCTAGATTTACTAGACCCACATATTCTCCAATAGTTCTTGGGGTTGGAGGCTCAGGAACTTCCTCCCTTGGTAGCTTCAGACAGGTCTCCAAAGGCCTGTGGGCAGAGCACACAGCACCTCCCATCGGTAAGAACTGTCAGGAAGCAGGATGTCCTTCCCCCATTTGTTGAGGGTCTGCCATGTGCCAGACAGGTCACAGCCACAGTAGGAAGTAAGAGCTCTTACTCTGCTCATCTTCTCAGGAAAGTGTGGCTCAGACATGCTGTGGGGTTTGCCCAAGGGCACCCAAGATACAGGGAGTGGGATTAGGATTTGAAGCTGGGCTTGGGGGACTCCCAGTCCCAGGTTCTTCCCCACCCAGCTCTGCTGTCAGCAAGAGCCGATGGGTCCCTGGGGTCTCAGGTGCCCACATGAGCCTGCTTAGTGGAATGACTTGGGGGCTCTCCACGGTGCCAGAGCTGCCTGTACCTGCTCTTCCTCCTTCCCAGGGACGCTGCAGGCCAGCACCCAGACTCACCACAGTAGTGCCATGTAGTGCTGGGCGTCAACCGGGCTGCAGAAGATATGGCCTTCCAGGGCAGGTGTGGGCTCCTGGAGCCACAGGAACAGGGTGTCGCTGGTGCCCAGGCTGACCTGGGGAGAGATGGGCAGAGGCAAGGAGCCTCAGGTTTGCCTACTCAGGCTCCCTCTGCTGGCGAGGTGCTCTGCATCCCACCTGCCTTAGCCCCGGGCACCTCCCTCTGCATGCTGCAGACCTCAGATGAAATGCCACTTCCTCAAGAAACCTCTTCTGACCATCCCACACAATGAGTCAAAAGTCAGCTCCCAAGATACAGGATCTCACGGATCCTCTGCGCCGATTGTCCAGAACTTACCACAACTACATCAGAGTAACAGTTTGGGTAATGACTGGTTCCCCATATGGCCTTCCTGCTAGATGCAGGAAGGCCTGGGTCATGTCTTCCTTATTCATCTGGGGAGCTCACGGCCTTCCCGGCCCTATGTCTGACCCTCTGCCACTGCACCCACCAAGACTGGGCACTGTCAAGGCAGGCAGGGGTCCTGCCCACTCAGCAAAGAGCAGTGCCCTTCTAAGGAAGGAGATGTGGGCCCCCTATCGCCTCCCTCAGCTGCCTTTTGCAAAGATGCTGCTGAGCCCCAGCACCCTGGTCCCCCAGGGCAGAAAGAGCCTGCGGGTGTGAGAAGTCACCTTACCGCAATGTCACCTTCCTCCAGCCTCATGCCTGCCAGCGATGCTGAGAATGTGAGGGGAGCCTCTGGTTAGCTGGAGGCCACATAAGAACCACAAAGGAAACCACAGCACCCCCAGACAGGAGCACAGTCCCCACCTTCTCCCCCCGCACCCGCATCCTAGGGGAGAGACAAGAGCAGGGTGAGCTGAGGGCTCAGGAGGCCCCAAGAGAAGGTCAAAGGGGTCAGAGGGTGGGGTCTCTGTGGTCAGGGCCTCTGGTTTGGACTGGGAAGCTTTTCCCCTGAGGGGGTCCAAATTCCCCACCACTGCCAGGTACTCCCAGGAGTGTAGAGAACCAAAGAGGCCAAGACAAGACAGGAAGGAGACACATGGCAGAGAAAGACGAAGGCTAGGTAGGAGTGATATACTAGCGGGATACTCCACCCAGCAGTATGGTAAGGAAGGGGCCGAGGTCATGTTCACGTCTGTGCCCTGCCTTACACACGAGACCCACAACAGCGATCTTTATCTGCCTTGTGTGCTGACATGCCCCAGTGCTGAAAGAAGGCCTGGCACATAGTAGGTGCTCACTAAATGCTGAGTGAATGAACACATGCGTGAAGGAGAAACAGTGGGAAGGCACAGGCGCACTCAAACACTGTGGTGAGGCTCACTCAGCAGTGTCAGAGGCCTTGGCTCCAGGAATCCCACCTCTGAGGACTCATCCCATAGTGACAAAGGGACACGACAGGATGTGCATCTCAGTGTTGTTCACGTTGCCCAAACACTAGAGCAACGCCAACCTCCAGCCACAGGGGATTGGTAAAATAAATGCTGGGACAACTATTAAAATGAGGTTGTGGAAAAATACTGCTCAGGTTGATTAAAAGAAATAAGGCTTATGCCAGGCGCAGTGGCTCACACCTGTATTCCTAGCACCCTGGGAGGCTGAGGCAGGAGGATTGCTGAGGTTGGGAGTTCGAGACTAGAATGAGCAAGAGCAAGACCCCATCTCTACCAAAAATAGAAAAAATTAGCTAGGCCTGGTAGCATGGGCCTGTAGTCCCAGCTACTCAGGAGACTGAGGCAGGAGGATCGCTTGAGCCCAGGAGTTTGAGGTTGCTGTGAGCTATGATGACATCACTGCATTCTCCCCAGGGTGACAGATCAAGACCCTGTCTCACACACACACACACACAAAAGAAACAATGCTCATTTAGGAGCACAGAAAGAAGACAGAAAGGATAGACATCACAATTTTAACCCTAATTTGGTGGCTTGTTAGGGAAAGGACTACTTTTCCTGGGGTGGGACTGAGGGGGAGCAGTCAGGGTGCTACTCAGCATGGCCCAGGGGGCCTTTCTTCAAAGACCTGAGGGCCCCTCTGGGAGTGGCTTCAGGAACCCCTAGAGGAGAGGAGGGAAGAGGAAAAGCCAGAGAGGAGACAAGGTGTCTGGACAAGAAACCGTCACAGCTACAGGTCAAATGACAGGACAGAGATTCAAAACCAGGTCCTCAAGGAAAAGTTGGAAGAACTGAGATGTTCAGAAAAGACAGGTTGGAGGGTGGATAGGCATGGCTGCCTTCTGTAATTCCTGAGGAGTTTGCACCTGGAGGGGCAGCCTAACCTACGAGTGTCTCCTGGGGGCAGAGTCAGGTAGGGCAGGTACAAAGAGTCAGATTTTGGGGGTGGGGGTACCACAGAAGAGCTTCACCAAGAGGCTGGACTGGAATTCTCAAACGTCCAACAGGGACCCAGGCAGCCTACTTGGAAAGTGACCCCGCCAGCCCTGAGGTCCTCACCTGGGTTATCCCCAGTAAAGGCCACCACTTTGCATCCTGGAGGAAATCCATAGCGCTGGACGTGGTAGGAAGAAACAGCTCCCTGAAGAGAAAAAGCAGATGCACTCTGCTCAGGTAAATCATGCCTGCACGGCACAGCCATCCACGCCTCAGGCCACAAGAACGCTACAGGCTGCAGTCACAGGAGCTGAAGGAATCTTCTGCGGAGCCTAGAATCACATCACTCCCTGTCGCAAATCAGGCACATCCCTCCGGTTCACAGATCACCAGAGGAGCCCGGTACAGGTTTGGAACCACAAGCACAAGGTCATCTTGAAAACCACTGGTCTTGAGATTTCAGGCAGCTAGAACAAACTGGTCCCCAACCTGTACCTCCTCCATAGGCTCCAAATTCTGGAGACAGTATTTACAAAAAGTAACAGGACACCAGTAAGCAAACTCACGGGGGTGGATAATGCCTTGCACGCTTGCTCTACCATCCCAGCGACTGGATTAAAAATAATCAGACATGCAGGTAGGGAACAATGTTCTAAGGAGAAAAAACCAAAAAAGGTAGGGGGGCGGGGGCGGTCACTGAGGAACCACAGCCCTTAGGGCCCCTCTGAGAGAGGCCGTGGGACCAGAGAGCAGGAACACCTTCTGGACAGGCCTGTATTCTATAGAAAGCAGAGTTATAAAAAGAAAACTTTCTTTCCTTTCTCTGACTACATCTTAGTTTCAAAAGTTTAAAATAAATGATGAGACTTTCTGGTGCCTGGGAAGAAAATTTTGCTCCACCCGGCAAAATTTTGGATTTTTATCAGAATAAGCCATCTCCTGGGAAAATAAACGTCTTGGCCTAGGTTGACTCAGGAAACAGAGCCTGAGACAGGGCTTGCATGAGGTGGTTATTTGGGGCAGTGACCCAGGAGGCAGGAGTGGGGACCTGGGAAGTGTGGACAGGGGAGGAGGGAAAGCCAGCCCAAGGGTGCGCTGTGGCACTGGTCACCACTCTGGGCAACGGGGGCTCCACACGCTGGGAGGGGGAGGGGAGGGGATCTCAGGAGCTGTGACTGGACTTGAGGACTGTCCACCTGGAGACAGGAGAGAGAGCAGTTAGCTATCCACAGCCTCCCTCGCCCCACTGGGGAAGGGTGTCCTGAGGCGGGTGAACTCCCTGCACCTCCAGGCTCACAGAGCACACGCACGGAGTCAGGGAAGCCCCAAAGCGGAAAGTGAGGGAAATGCAGCTCAGGCAGGGTGCTGTCAGGTGACATCTGCGTAAAGCCACAACGGCTGGCATAAAAGGTAAGCTGAGAGGATGCAAGGTGGGATTGAGGAGGGGCCAGCACAGTATATCTCCAAATATTTTCCCACAGAAAATGAGAGAAAGCTAACTAGGCACCGCCTTCAAAAAAAGAGATGATGCAAAACATGGATCTTGCTTGGTTTCCCTCAACACGTGACGCGTATGTGACAAATGAAAGTGCCTTTTCAGAATCAGTTCTTTCCCATCCTCAAGCTGTTTTTCTCTGCACAGGCCCCTTTTCCTGGACGCAGGTGTTCCTGGTGAAAGGCAAACAGCCTGCGGCTGTGGATGAAACATTGCCCTCAACTTACAGGAATTTAAAAGCCATGCATGGAACACCAATCCCAGTGGCTTGGCTGTTTCCTGTTTGCCCTCCCTGTGTCTTTCTGACCTGTGGCACCTATGTGAGCCTTGTGTTGTCAGCTCCTATGGGGCAGGATCACTCTTCCTTCAGCTCTGTGCACTGGCCTCCTAGCACACTTTGGATGATGATGGTTTGGCTTTGACGTTCTGCCTCATGATGGCAAAGCCTGTTCTCAGCATGTCAGTGTGAATCTTACAAGAAAAGTGCTGCTGTGGCTGAGACTCCTAATGGGGAATACCCACGACAGCTCTATCCTACTTCTGGCCCAAACCTCCCAGCTCCATGACACTCTCCAGGCCAAGAGGGTCCCCTTCTCCTTCCTTCCCACCAGCACTCTGTCCCACCAAGAGTTCTTTCTGGTTGTTCTGGCTGTGTAGCCTGTGCTACCCGCCAAAGGGCCCTAAGAGCAGGGCCCAGGTCTCTCTCTACTCCATTGCCTCCAAAGGACAGCCAAGAACAGGGCCAGCCAGCAGGATGCACAGGGCATTCACGGCCAGTGTTCATTCTGAATGGGTGGTTCCTGTCTGACGGGCACGTGTTTTGGATATTACCTGTGGGACCAGGCACTATCTTAAGCACTTTAAATATATTATCTCATCTAATTTGCACAACAGGTCTGAAGGATAAATAGTATTATTCCCTTTGTTTCAGATGAGGAAACTGAGACACAGTTTAACGTCACAGAGCTGACTAGTGGTAGAACCAGGATTCAGTCCCAAGCAGTCTGGTGCCAGGGCCCGCGCTCTGCCAGGCTTCCCGGTTTGTCCTTCTATTTTCCCCAAGAATGCCTACTTCAAGCCTGCTCGGTGGTCTCCAGTCCTAGAATTTCAGCATTCTGTGCATTTTTAGGTATCAGTCATCTTCAATTTCTTCCCTATTCTAATAAATTTCCAGTGGAATTTTCCAAAACCCCCCCACCATAAGGCAATAATGTATACACGCACCTGAGAACCTACTATGTGCAAGTCACTGATCCAGGCACTTCGATTTGACTTACGTCAAACACCTGCCTTATGCTAAACTGAAAACCCCGCGTGTGTATGCTAGTGTGTGGATGAATGAATGAATGAATGAATGAAGGGAAGAGAAAGAGCGAGAGAGAGAACTGCAGTGCTTCCCCAGTAGCTGCCTGCTCTCTGGAAAGGGGACCTACCACCACTGAGCATGACGGTACTGGGGGGCCAAGCTTCTCCTCTAAATGAGGGGCACAGGCACCAAGGCAAGCCTGGGACCAGACTTTGTCCTGTATCTGCAACAAATTCATTCCAGAACCTGAGGAAGGAAAAAAATGAAAAAACAGAAACATCTTGAAAAAGGACCTTTTGTGAAAGTGCACAAATCTGGCGGAGAGCAGATAATTCTCTTGCAGCAAACTTGTACCTGGAGCTCTTTCTTCATAGAATGTCTACAGTATGCTTGTTCTAGAACAGGAGGACCAGAGGCCAGCAGGGCCCTTGGCAATGCATGGCACAACCATCTCCTCCAAATATTCCTCGCAGGCTTAAACACCATGGGTAGCTGGGACATCTACTGTCTAAGGCCTTCCTGGGGCCTGGGGAACTGCCAGCCACATGTTGACTAGGAACCGCTCCACATGTCCCTTAGGTTTCAGGGTGTCAACTCAGAGGCAGCCTTGGTGCTGACGAGGTTCAGCCCTCAGGGATTCCTCAACCTCCTCTGACTCTGAGGAAAGCTATCAGACTGCTCTCCAGACTTCCTCCTGCTAGTCACTGAGATCAGCCCACTAAGTCTTTCCTAAAACCACCTACTGCTCCCAAGGCTTCTCTGAGGATGGGACAGGGCAGAGAACCCAGAGCACAGGAGGGGACCTCCTCCTCACTGGGCCAAGGTGGAGGCAGACAGAGGTGGGCTGGGGTGCTGATAAGGTCATGTGCTCAGGAGGGGGGTTAGATGGCTGGTAAGTTAGGAGGTGGCTTCCCAGGGGAGGGAGGGGAGCAGAGGGGAGGGCCCGGCTGAGGCACATGGCCCTCTGGAATGACCACTGGAGCAGTGGCATGGCTTTCTGCAGCTGCGCTACCACCCCGGGGCGGATGCGGAGAACACGGGTGGACATTCAGGCCACCCCTGGCTTCTGGTTCTGCTGGTCTGAGTTCTACCGAGCTAGGGAACCTTGTCTCCTCCTCCAGACTGTGAGGGAAGCTCGGGACCACTCCTTAGTCACCTTACTTTCTCTCCCTGAGCTGGAATGATGCCTGGCAAACAACAGCCCTCGGAAACTTCCCGTGAACTCCCTCGAGGCTCAGAGCAGCCCCAGACTCCTTTCTGCAGCCGCGTCCATGGGTCTGGGCACTTGCACCGCGTTCCTCCTTGCTCTGTCCATATTCTTTTTGATCTCAGACTCTCTTAGACTAGTCCAAGAGTTCCTTCAGCAGCTTCCTCCCAGGTTTCCCTCCTCAGTGGTACCATCTGCATTTTATTCTTGTTGGAGTTTTGATTCTAGAAGTTCACAACTCTCCTGAGTTCACCAAATGTGAACAAAAACTTCTATAAATGGCTCCTTGCGGAGCCAGACTCCAAGATGGTCCCTGATGAGCCACCGCTCCTGGTGTTCGGACCTCGTGAGGTTCCCCCAACACTGCGCAGGGTCAAGCTGTACCTACCGCGTGACTGGCAAGATGAGGCAGAAGTGATGGCATGTCACTTTAGGATTAGGGCATAAATGACTCTGCAGGCCTGTCCCTTACTCCTCCCTCCCTCCCCGCAATGTCATCGACAGCCCTACAGAGGCCCACACATGAGGAACTGAGGCCTCTTGCCAACAGTGTGTGATCCTGGAAGTGGATCCTCTGGCCTGCATTGAGCCTTCAGACGACGGCAGCCCTGGCTGCCAGCCTGACTGCCACCTTGTGCCTTGGAGATCCTGAGCCAGCAGGACCACTCAGCTAAGCTGCTCCCACATCCCTGACCCTCAGACACTATGTGAGAAAATAAACATTTGTGGTCTCCAGCTGCTTAAGTGCTGGGGACATTTGTTATGCAGTAACGCTAACTAATATACCCCCAAGACTGGCACCCACCCAGGGCGGATGGGGCTCCCACTGCCCGCATGCCCGCATGCCGCAGGCACTGACCAGGCACCCTGGCGCTCTGAGGCTTACCATCACTGTAGTCAATCGGGGAGTATGCGCCAAGGAACAGGGAAGCAGCAAAGCTACTGACCAAAGAAATTCTCTGTAAAAGAAAGAAACACAGCCAGAGAGATGACTCACTTCTACACACCCTAAGCTACTGATGCTTCTGACACACACACACACACACACCATGAAAAGAGTTTTAAATTGGGGAAGGAAGTGGAAACTTTGAGCAAAATGCTCAAGTAACAGTGGAGACTGAGTATCTCAGAGAAGAGCAGGTGGAATACCAAGAAACGACTCCTCAGGAGAGCACTCACTCTGCAGTTTCTCACAGGCCATACAGCTGCCCGATTCAATAAAGACTGAACACAGAAGCTGTGGAGAAAGCCATGCTTCGGGACGCTGGTTTTCCATCCAGAATCCATATGCTGGGGAATGTGATGTCCTGATTTTCTCCCACCATTTCTGCAGTCTTCACATCTGGTCACAACAGGACCCAGAACTAACCAAGATGCTCTTGGGGGCTCAGGAGAGCTGGCCCCTCAGAAGCCACAGACCCCAATCATGAGCCAGAGGAACTGACAATGGGTTTTAAATGTCGGCCTGAGGGTCTGTGCTTTCACATGAGAACCACAGGCCTTGGTCCTGTGGAGAGAATTGCTGTCACCTGCTGTCCCCCATCAGGCCACCTTTGTTCCACACACAGAATTTTGGGAGGGTTTTCATCCCCCCCACCCAAAGCCCACATTAATGGCTAGTGCTGCAGAATGATCTGGAACCTTGAATCATTAAATAAATGAACTTCACATTAATTTGCAAGATTAAAAAGGCACTTTGATTTAACATGAGCAGATCATTTTCTTGTTACAAGGTGAAAATCACTAGCCAGGGTGTGGAGCTGCTTCTCAGGCAGCACTGAGCACTGGCTTTCAGCAACTGTGGAGCCAGGAATGAAACCGGGTTCCTGTGATGCAGGCTTTGGCTGAAGGGCCACAACGGGGGACACAAAGGCTCAGACCTACACACTTCCAAAGAAAACACTGATCCCCTGCCAGTCAAGTGCCTGGTAGCCATCCTGCATTAACCATACAGGAAATTGAGTGGGCACAGCCAAAGAGCACCCAGATCTCCTACTCAGGGGGTCTCAGGAAGACACCAGTCCCCACAGCACCCACCCTGACCTTGACCCTGACTCCTTCTGGTCATGAGAGCCCCTGACTTCTCTCTCCCACATTCTACCCTTTCTCTTCCCTTTGGAAACAGCCCGACAATGAGAAAAAAGCGAATTGAATATATATCATTTTCAAATGTCTGGCTCATCAATGTTTTCAGCCACTGCACAAGAGATATATTTATGCTAAAGTATGATAAAAGGAATTCAACTGTGACTTTCAGTCAAACAGGAACGTTTAACCAACCTCCGTGTGTGAGTAGGCCTCGGTGTTCTGCTGGTAAATCTTTGCGATTTGGTTTCCTGTAAAACGCTGGAAAAGGAGTGTAAATTCTTAGAAACTCAAATCCTACACAGAATGAATAATCAACTCCATAAAGTGAGCTCAATGTAGCATGCTCTGCATATTGGTGGGTAGAACAGAAGCTTTTAAAAGTAAGCCCCAAATCTGGAAATGCTTGGTATCTGCTGAACACCCAAGGCAACTTGATTTTGGCCTTTGAATCCTTAAAATGCTCTTGGTAATCAAATACTCAGGCAGTAACAATCGCTCTGCACCCATGGGATACGGAAGTGAAGGGCTCCTGGGCCTTCCTGGGACAACCTCTCCCCTCTCAGGACTGGACAACACTGTATAAATAACCCTTGCTCTTCACACAGCAGGGTGGCTGTTCTGACGAGGGCACCAGAGCAGGGGACTCAGGTATTTCTCCACTGCACATTCTTCTTATTCAGGTAGCCTAAGTAGGGTTGGCCCTATCCCCAAAACCTCTACTCCAGTAAGGTCAGGTGACCCAAGCTGGGTGAATCACAGCAACCTCTGGGACCATGGCTGAAGCCAGCAGGACAGAAGCATTCTTTTTCTTTTTAACTTTGCCAGGCATTGCACCAAGCGTCTTACACGCACTGACTCCTCTCAGCTTCCAATCTACCCAAAATGTAAGTCCCATTGTTATCCCCAGGTTACAGAAGTTGAGACAGAAGTGCCATCCTCGCCCCCATGCACAGTGGCTCAATGTGAGGAGCACAGCCATGTGCACACCCCAGGCCAGCCTGGGGACACACAGGAGGCCTGTCCTTGCTTGACAGGCACATAGGGCAGCAGGTGGCCTGGATTAGGACCCAGGTTCTGCAGGGCTGACACCCCCATGAGCTTGCATGATTCCCACAGAGGCAGGTTGCCAGCTATGTCCTCCCAGACATGCAGTGAGAAGGGCCCAGAGCCTGTAACCAGCCCATCTTCCCAGTTTCCAGCCCAGCATGGGCTCTGCCCACCTCATAGGCGCGAGACCCTGTGAGGCAGCTGAGAGCCTGGGCCCCGCCTATGGCAGCCTCCAGCCGGCGGCACTGGGTGGTGGTGCTGGAGTCCATCCACACTGGGCAGTCGCTGATGGAGAAACAGGCCTGGAAAGAGAGGCAAAGGCACAGGCTTGAGGTCTGTCCACTGACTTGGAGAGCTGCTGCACCCATCACAGCAGGTGCAGCTTCCCAGGTGACCTTGGAGACTATGGGCAAGCCCTTCATGCCTGAACCTCTGCCTGGCACAGTGGGCTCTCTCCCTGAAAGCCTGAGATTAAAAGGCTCTTCGGGCGAGGGAAGTAGCTGCAAGGAGTGAGCACAGCAGCCACCAGAAGTGAGCAGAGAGAGCTACAGCTGCAGCAGAGCATAGGTTTTCTGGGGTATTTGGAACCCAGTGGGAAACGAGAGGCCCAAGCCCTGCCTTCCCAGCAGCATCACTAGGAGACACCAAGCACCAGGGAGATTCCTGACCGGGGCGTGGGGATGAACCAAACTTGCTCTGGGCAGGAGGGGACTCATGTGATGAGGATGGTTAGCACCTAACCCTCTGTGCTGACACCAGGCAGACTCCATCCAGGTAGACAGGGCAGACCATGCTCACAGGACTACTGCCAAAGCCACCTTCTTACACCTTGACAAGCACAGAAATCCCAGACCCCAGGGCCTGTAGGTCTCCCTTCTCCCCACTTTGCAGAAGTTTCTCAGTCTCATACAACAGGCCAGTTACCTGCAGCTGCTGGTGTAGTGGAAGGTCTGGTGATAGGCTTGTCAGCACCCGACTGGCCCCGGCCTTCCAGTATATACTCCCATGTTGCTGTCGAGGGGAAACCCAAGCACACGTTCATACGGCCATACACTGGTGTCACGGCCTCCTGGAGACACAGAAAGACCCCAGACCACACGCCAAAGAACTGGGCTTCAACCCTGCCCCTGCCACTTCTTAGTCACAGAGTTCATCCCTTCTATGAGACTCGATTTCTATTTTGATAAAATGGGGAGGAACTCTGCCCTGTCCACCCTAAAACTTATAGGAAGGGTCCAAGGAAAAACTATTGGTCTGGATTTTAGTGCGTTTGGTAAAATTGTATTTAAAGATATTGCTTGCAATATCATCTGGAATTCATTTATTTATTCAGTAACCCCATTCATTCATTCATTTAACAAACATTTACTGAGCACATAGATCATGCCAGGCTTGGGACAGATGAATAGGATATTACTGTCCCTATTCTTCAGGCTACTGGAGTTGAGTCAGGGGAAAAGACACAAATGTACAATTACAAAACCCTGGGAGCCGCAGTGAGAGGGCTGTGGGAACAGGAAGAGGCACCTAAGCAGCTGGGATACAGATGGGTAGAAGTGGATGTGAGTACAGGAAAGAGTCCCATAGTAGGGTGTGTGCTCCATCCATCCATAGGAGGGGGCGGCCTGGCAGGTCCAGGGAAGGGTGGCATTCTAACTGGTAGGCCTGAGGCTCAGCAAGGGGGTAGGGAATGGGCTGGAGAGGTGGTGGCCTGAGCACCGGGGGCCTGATACCCATACTCCGGAGGTTGGGGTTTATCTTGGAGGTGGTGGGAACCCTGGATCACAGGGAGTGACATGGCCAGGGCTTAGAGTCATGGAGAAGGTAGGCTGGAGGCAGGCAGGCCCAGAGAAACGTGACAGGCACTTGGCCTGGGTAAGAGAGGTGGTGCTGCAGAACGGACAGCAGATTCAAAAGTCCTCTGCAAGTCAGCAGGACGTGGGGACCCTTGGACATGGAGTGGGAAGACAGAGGAGCCGGGGATGACACCTGAGTTGTGCCCCTGGGCAGATGGGGCGAATTCCCTGAGCAAGGGAACCCAGGGAGAAGGTGGTCTGGGGAAGACAGGGCGCTCAGTCCAGGACACGCTCTGTTTGAGGCATCTGTGGGATGCCCGGCCGTGGCAACGGGGGATGTCTGGGAGGGAGATGGGTGTCCAGGGCTGGGGTTCAGGTGAGAGAAGTAGGAAAGATCACCTAGGGAATCTCTGTTTAGTTTAACAAGGATCAGAACAATAAATCTCTGTTAGGTTAGTGGGGAGAAAGGGCATCTTCAGAAAAATTAGTAAGTGTTCTCTAGTGAGGATGTTAAAACATGGCAGTCCAGCAAGGAGAAAAGTAATTCCAGCATGACAAAGTGATTGGAGGGTGAGCCTGGACTCAGGTCCTGACTTCTTCTTGCAGCTATGTGACCTTGGGCAAGTGACACACCTCTCTGCGCCCCATGTAAGCATCAATGATGAGAACAGTAGCTAAAATTTAAATAAGCTTTCCTAGGTACTAGGCATCGCTCTATGTATTTAACACTCACAATGACTCCATGACAGAGGATACCGAGGCACCAGAAGGCTGGAGGACATGGCCCAGGCCACTGCTTGTCAAGGGCAGAGCCGAGGACCGAACCCAGGGACATGCCCAGAGCCCGTGCTAACCACTCCACGGCACCACCCCGTGGAATTGCTGTGAGGATTAAGGTGGGTAACGTGCGTAAAGGCCTCACTGCTGTATCTGGCATACGCTAAGTGCTCAGTCCATGTTCCTTGATATTATGGTTACTAACCTTTCTATCGCTGAAACTACTATCATTATTAGTATCGTTTTTTTACTTTGCTTTTACTTCCAGGAAATGGAAAAGCAATTTTTCTACCCCCAAACAGTGATAAATTCTTGTCAAATGCTTCCTCCATCCCCTTTGGAGGACCTCTATTCGGTCCAAGTGTCCTATTTTGTATAATACTTGATCATAAGAACGGTCTCAAATCTTTTTGCAAGGCAGCAAGTTACAGAGTGTCCAAGGTAAAACAGTTTTAGGGATTTTTGCTAACAGTGAAATGGGTGCAGTGGCTTTTGAGAATGAGCACCTTCCCTCTGAGGGGAGCTGTCACTTTAGCATCTACACCATTGCCCAAGACAGCCACCCTCCCGTGGCAGAGAGAGACCGCTGCAGACGAACCTGGCCTGCCCCGGACAAGGCTAGGACTTGAGAGAAGTCGAAGCCTGAAGCCTTCATCTTCTCCAAGATGATGTCTAGAGCCTGAGAAGAAAAAACAGAATCCATCATGACCATACTGAACCACTGAATCAACCAAACACACAAGCCGCAGCATTGAAATGCAAGCGCCGCCATTTCAGCAGAGGACTCTGGGCAGATGATGAACAGGGACCTGAGGACTCGGGATTTGTGCACACTGGAACATGCTAATTAAACAAGTAGGCATCAATCGAACAAAAAGGTCAATTATGCTAAAAATATTTTAAATAAAGGGGGTCATAAACCACCAGTCCTCAAATTTTGCTTTTCCCATTTGTGACTTCTAAGCACTCAGGAAGATTAAAAAATAAGGCAGCTCAAATTTTGGTTTCTTTTGTTTGCATTTTCAACCCACCATCTTAATGGCCTGACTTCACTGCAACAGGGAAGTGAAGAGCAAAGTAGAGGGCTCCCGTGAGAGCGGGGCTCCAGACCCAGACGCCCTGTGTCCAGGAGACCAAGGTTGGAGGGAGTGTGTAGAGACAGTGGCCATCTCCCCCTAGCCCCCATTTCACCCCCACTGTCTGGCTGGACTCTTCTTTCTAGCAAGTCCACATGAGTGGGATGGATGGCAGTGCCCAGCAGAGCTTGACATGACCCCTCCTAATATTTCACAGCAGGAATTAGAGATTCACCCCGGCCTGTGTTTTCCTTGAGGGCAGAGAAGCCACTCCAGCTTTTGCTTGACTCCACCATCCCCACCCTATCCTGGAAGGGCTCCTTTCAGCCCTGGCCGTGGCTGCCAACTCTAGCCCTCTTTTCCAAACCTCAGGCAGGGAGTGGGGCACAGCTGTAGCAGGGATCAGCAAAGCTAGCAACAGGCCCAGTCCTGGGGGCAGCTCAGGATCAGAAATCACCTTGACCACAACCCCAGCCTGGCTCTCTCACCCCCTGTTCACCTGGCAGCTGAAGGCCTTCGCCTAGCAGATGCCCTTGACATCATCACTGTGACCTCTTGACACCAACCCTTGCTTCTGACCGCCAACCCTCCCACCTCTGCCCCACGGTCTGGCTCAGCCCTCTGAAGTACCTTCCAGCCAGCCCAGGGGTGGGGAACCTGTGGCCTTCCAGATCCTTAAGTGTGGTCTTTCGACTGAATTTACATTTTGCAGAACAAATCCTTTGATTTTTATTAACACATTTTTGTCTTTTACATTTTTATTTTATTTTTAAAATGAATGTACTTAAAATACCAAATAATAAATTTCAACAAAATAATCCTCCCAAATTGACCCACACAATTAGAACATTAGTGAGCCATAAGGGCTAAATTGATGCTGCTACGTTCATGATTTAGTTCTAACTTCCCCCGCCTGACAAGTGCCGCTACTGCATGAGGCTGGTTGGTAAGAGTTTATGGGGGTCGAGTATGGCAGTCTGTTACCAGCTTTTGACAATGGTGCACTGTGTTTCTGTTTGAAGTGGAATTTGTGAATAGCTGCACAGCTCAACAGTATTTTTTAATTCTGTCTGCTTTACAGCCCATATGTCAAAGATGACCAAGAGAACGCTGAAGAAAGAAAACAGATTTTTTAATGAGGACTGGAAATTGAAGTATTGTCTTGTTTCTGCTAAAGATAAGATGATTTGCTTGCTTTGTGATACTGCAATATCGACATCAAAGAAATTCAATGCTCATCAGCATTATAACAGTCATAAGGACCACAAATATTTTAAATTAGAGGGAGAGGCATGAAAGGTTGTATTATAGAAATTAAAAAATGAAAAGCAAAAGCGAAGACAATTCTTTCCTTTTTTTTAAACCTTAAAGTAGGACTTCAAATTTATTTTGTTTGTTTAAAGTACATTTTGTTTTTTTTTGAAAAGAATCTCAGCAATTACCAAAAAGGAACTTAATTTCTTTATTATGACCTTTAGTCAGAATGATGAACACTATTTAATTTTGGAAAACTATTCTTTTTTTTTTTAATTTCAGAATATTACGGGGGTACAAATGCTTTGGTTACATAAATTGCCTTTGCACCATCAGTGTCACAGCTACAAGCGTGCCCATCCCCCAGACAGCAGGCACCGTACCTGTTAGGTGAGAATTTACCCATCCCCTGACAATTCTTTCAAGAGAAATAAAACCTGGAAATAATGCCACTGAAGCAACTTATAAAATAGCTTATATACTCAGGAAAAAAGGGACACCATTCCATGATGCAGAAACTGTGAAAGAATGCATTGTCAAAGCTGTAGGATGCTTAGACCCCAATAACGTTTCAAGGCACAAACAACTGTCTCTTTCAAAGAGAACCGTAACTGACCGGCAGCATGAATTAGCCTTCAACTTAACAGAACAGCTTCATGCAATACTTCAAAAGGAAAATATATATCATTCAATCACTTTGAATGAATCAAGTGATACTACTGACTCGGTGCAGGTTTTATACTTCATTTAGGTCATAACAGAAGATTTTCTTTGCTACAAAGAGTTACTCGCTTTGGGCACTCTTGCAAACAGAACACAGGGAATAGATATCTTCAACAACTTTCAAGATAAATGTCATGAAGTTGGATTGAATTTGGTAAATTTAGTGAGTTTATGTACAGACAGTGTACCTTCCATCACAGGAAAACATGAAGGGCTTATTGCACAGATAAAAAAAAGTATTAATAGATCCAGATGCTCTCATTTCTTTTCATTTGTATCTTGTAACAGCCAAATCTCTGTGCTAAACCTACTATTTTTTTTCAGCTTTTGTTTTTTTTTTTTTTTTCAGCATATTATGGGGGTACAGATGTTTAGGTTACGTATGTTGCCCTTGCCCCCCCATCCCCCTCTAAGTCCGAGTTTCAAATATGTCCATCCTTCGGGTGGTGCGCATTGCACTCTTTGTGTAAACCTACTATTTTAAGTGACACTTTAAAACAAGTTATAAGTATTGTTAACTGTATTCATGCAAATGCAATGGCATCATCAATTTTGTAACATGTTAAAGTTGAACTGATGAGGTCTTCAGTATGGATTTGCTCTATCATTCTAAAGTGCACTTGTGGCTGGGTGTGGGGGTCACACCTGTAATCCTAGCACTCTGGGAGGCTGACGTGGGAGGATCCCTTGAGCTCAGGAGTTTGAGCCCAGCCTGAGTGAGACACTGTCTCTACTAAAAATAGAAAAATTAGCCAGGCCTGGTGGCATGCGCCTGTAGTCCCAGCTATGGGAGTCTGAGGTAGAAGGATTGCTTGAGCCCAAGAGTTTGAGGTTGCTGTGAGCTAGGCTGACACTATAGCACTCTAGCCCGGGCAACAGAGTGAGAATCTGTCTCAAAAAATAAAAGAAAGAAATAAAAAGTGTGTTGGCTATTGCAGGGACAGGTGTTAGCCAAAATTTTATCTCTGCAAGGATTGCATCATATCTGTGTGATACCATGTAAAATCAAGATGACTTGAATATTTCTTTGCGAGGTAAAACTAAATCTATATATGGTATGTGGCAAAAAATCCAAACATTTCTAAAATAGTTATCTTTTGTCAAAACACTTCTTCTTCAAAAGGAAATTTTTGTATGAACATTTTCCCCAGTTAGCAAAGGTTATTGATGAGCAGGATGATATATGTGAATCATGTGAAGAACGTGTAGCTGTTACAAACCTATTATAATAATTGGAGACTACAATGAAAGGTTCACTGACTTTGAGTATCATGACATCACACTCAAATTAGCATTTCAGTTTCACCTAGTTGATATCACCAAGGCACCTAAAGAACTACAGATGGAATTGATTGAGCTCTCAATAGGGGACATTTTAAAGTCATTGTTTGATGCTAAGAAAGATCCGATCGAAATAAGGAAAAATGCAGTAGACTGCCCAGGCCTTTGGCAACATGCCCAAAAAATACTTTCTTGCTTTCCAACCATTTATTGCTGCAAATCTACATTCTCCTACCTGACCCCAATCAAGATGCTCTTGAGGTCACAAATGACTGATACCCATCTAGGGGATCAACTGAAACTGCAGACCTCCATGCTGCAACCAAATACTCAAATGCTTTCCAAAAAAAAGCAGACACAATAAAGTCATTAAAAGGTTAGTTAACTTTAAAATTAACAAATAGTTTTCATTTTTTAAAATTATTAAGTACACAGTAGTTAGATTTTTATAAAATAATGTACATTTTTAAGTACAACTAATTGAAGTTTCTTGAATGTGGCCTTATTTGATTACAGCTAAATTAATGTGGCCTTTCAATGTGAAAAAGCTCCCCACCCCTGAGCCAGCCTGTCTAGATAAAATCCATCCTTTACCCCAATTCTCCAGTGTATGAGTCAGGGTCAGGCCAATAAAAAAAGAAATCATACTAGCTATTTTTAACAGAAAGAATTTAATATAGGGAATTGATTAAACAGGTATTAGTGGACTGAAAAAAAGCTTTTGGCAGACACACTAAGTGCTGCCTTTGGCTGGTCTCCAGTTTCAGAGTCTCAGGGCCCCTGTGGCATTTGAGGCAGCCTCCAGCCCTGTTGTGCCTGTCCGTGCTGTCCACATCCTGGTCTTGTGGCCCCATGGGTCACCAGATCTGGCCACGGGCATCTTCCTTTCTTATTGATCCTGAGTAGGCAGGCCTGGCTCAGGATTGGTCTGAGCTGGACTGGTCAGGCCATAAATTAACATGCTGAGTGCCCCTACCCTGGCTGAGGGGTCTGGGGGACTGAGCACTAAGACCCCAAGGGCTATCTTTGGATCTTAGGATACAAGGGAGGCACACACAGGGCCTGACTGCAGAGTGTTTGGGAAAGATTTACTCTGCAGTATCTTAAACACGGTTACTGGCAGGACTTGGCAGCACTTGCCAGCTGCTGTGGCTCCAGTACCAAGTCGTCTCAGCCTGGGAGTACTGACACTAGCTGAGGCCGAGCCTGGCCCAGGAACCATGTAGAAGAGGACCTGGGATACTGAACGGATACTATGAACTGTTTCCTGCGGGCTTCCTAGCAAATCACCAAGTGTGCTGGTGAGACAGGCTGGGGACAGAAGGGAACAAGAATCCCTGCACTTACCTGGACCCACATCAGGACTGGAGAAGTGACCGTCACCCCATCCTGGTGCACATGAACACCGCCCTGAGTCCTGCAAGAACAAGAGAGAATGTGGGACAGTCTCAGGGCAGGCAAAGCACTGCAAAGCCCTCAGGGGCCCAGTGGCAGATGACCCTGAACACCTCCAGCTGAAGGAGAACCTCCTCCCAATCTCGAGTGGGAACTGTAGATTGAACAGGCCTGAGAGCTGCTAAGATGGAAAGATGGAAAGAGAAGGCATGGAAATTTCCCAGAGTGACCCAGAGCTGGCAATTCTTAGAAAACACCTTCTAAATAAGCCCCTAGACATATGAGGGGCTCACCCTGGAAGGCAGGCTCAGTGTCACCTGGCACAGCAGTCACGAAGGAACTAGGGGAGTGCAGGGTTGGATTAAAAGCCCTTCGAAACACGGGAGGGGAGGGGTGGCCACATGGAGGTACTGTGTCTGCAGGAAGAAGTTCTTGGCTATTGCAACAGACCAGGGAGTCCTTGGACTGCGAGCCCTAGGTTACCTAGAACCCTCTCTCTACCTCCTCACCCCTACAAGACTTTTGTGCAAACAGCTGATAAGTCCAACCCTTTCAACTATGAGTTTAAAAGAGAAAACAAGGCTCAGAATACACACCAGGATACTCTTAGATAACCCTGTGATCCAGCCATTCTTTTCCTAAGTATCTAGTCAAGAGAAATGAAAATATGAGTCCACAGAAAGATTAGTACACAAATGTTCATAACAGCCTTATTTGTAATAATAAACTGGAGTCAACCCAAGTGTCTCCAAATAGGTAAACAGATAAACTGTGGTATATATACGTGATGCCGTGCTACAGAGCAATAAAAATTATAAAGTATTGCTATGCACACCAACATGGATGAATGTCAAATCATGCTGAGTGAAAGAAGCCAGGCATAAAGGAATACATATCACATCATTCCATTCATAAAACAGACTGGAAAATGCAAATTCATCTCTAGTGAGAAAAGCAGATCCGTGCTTATCTAAGTCCAGTGGGGGAAAAAAGGGACAGGCTAAATGGCACAAGGAATATTCTGGGGGAGATGTAAACATTCTGTATGCTGTTTGTGGTGGTAGTTTCACAGGTATAGGCCTACACCTGTCAAAACACATTGAATTATATGTTTTTAATGGATGCCATTTTTGGTACATAAATTATACTCAATAATACTGGTGTTTTTGGAAAAAGGTGGAAGAGAGCAGCAAAACTTTCCTATATACAAAAAAAACTCACCAGAAAAAAATAATGCCTTTATAAAACAGATGAAAATTTTACCTAGATATTCCACTATTTATTTGACAACTTAAAACTGGCAATTTCAGCTAATACTGTGATTGCCAGGGCTGGGAGGAGAGGACCATGGAGTGGCCGCTAATGGATACAGGGTGTCCTTTGGAGGTGATGAAAGTGTTTTAAAATTAGTGGTGATGGTTACAAGTTCTGTGAATATACTAAAAACCACTGAATTGCACATTTTAAAAGGGTGAATTTTATGGTAAGTGAATTTTATCTCAACAGAGCCATTTTTTGAAATAAAAAGATATGTGGGGGGAAAATCTATATTAATTAAGAAAAAAAACCCCATAGTTTCACACAGTTGAAGTTTACTTCTCAAGCATGCGAAGCACAATCCGTAGGAAGTGAGGAACGGGAGTGAAACTCCGCCGCACACAGTTATTCAGGGACCCAGGTTGATGGCAGCTCTGTTATCTTCAGTGTGTGCTTCCAGGGTTGCTCTGGATACCCACATCAGCTAGCAAATGGGAGAAGAGACAGAGCAGGAGGTTTTCATTGACTAGGCCTGTTAGAGGCCTATTCGCTTTTTCCTATATTCTACCAGTTAGAACTCGGTCCCACGGTTGAACTAAACTGCAAGAAGACGGGAGTGTGCCTGGGAGGAAAGGGAAATGAGTTTGGAAGACGGCTGATCAGTTTCTGCTAGAAGCCCCCATCCCACACTTTCAGTAGTAAAAAGATAAAATAGAAATAAGCCTAAAAATAATTATATACACTGGGTAGTTTTTGCTCTGTTACAAACCACTTCAAAACTTAGAGGCTTGAAACCACTACTAAGCTCGCAATTCTATCAGTCAGTCGCTGGGCTGGGCTCAGCTGAGCAGTTCTTCTGGGCTCACTCATACCTCTGGGGTTGGTTAATAGAGGGCTCTGCTTATGTGGTCAGCTAACAGTAACTAGGGGCTGGCTAGCACTCAGCTGGGGAAGTGGGGGCAACTAGGCCACATGTGTTCAACCCTCCAGCAGGCTAGCCTGAGCTTGATCATTTGGTGGCTGGGCAGGGTTCCAAGAATGAGAGCAGAAGCAAGCAGGCCTAGAACTGGCAGAATGTCACTTCCCCCACGTTATATTGGATAAAGCAAATCAACAGGAAGGGAAATGACTCTTTGATGGAAGGAGTTGCAAAGTCACATTGCAAAGGGCATGGGTACAGGGAGAAATGGAGAATTATGATTATTTTTGCAGTGTACCACAATGGGCAAAATCCATACATTAAACATGAAAATACATACGAAATGTTCAAAAGAAGATGTGAACAAATGGAAAGACACAGCATGTGCATAGACAGGAAGACTGAATCTCATGAAGTTGTCTCCCTAAATTAATTTATAAATATAAATATGACCTCAATAAAAATACTAACAATTTTACATTCTAGAACCTGAAAAGCTGATTCTCAAGTACATTTTGAAAAAGAACGAGAAATAATAGCCATGGAAATTCTGGAAAAGAAGAACAATCAGAAGGGACCAACAATTCCAGATATTAAAACATATTGAAAAGCTGAGATAATTAAAACAATGTGTCACTGGCTTATGAACAAATCTACCAACCAGTGGAACAAAAGAAAAAGCCCAGAAACAGACCTAAACAAGCATAGAAATTTAGCATATGATAAAGCACTCATCTTAAATCAGTGAGGTAAGGATGGACTTCTTAAAAAATGGTTGGTGTTAACGACTGAAGAGTCATCTGGAAAAAATTAAACTTGGATATAAATATCATACCATGTACTTGAATAAACTCCAAATATTTTTATATAAGAAAGCTGAAATCTTATAAGAAATAGATGAAAACATAGGAGGATTACTTCATAATCTTGAAGATTAAACTATGACTTTTAAACTATGACTTTTAAACTATGACTCAAAATCTAGAAGCAATAGAAGAGAGTGTGAAATTCAATGACATAAAAATGAAAAGCCAATGAGTGGAAACAATAATAACAACCCATACACAAGTAAAAAACAAACAAAAATCTGGGAAACAT